CATAGTCATAGTCACTGTCATCAACCTAACCTCACTGAACTATGAATCATAGTCAACCAACAAAGATATAGAACCTGATTTTCATTCATCCATATTAGCTTTACTTTAATGGTAATTTTATATTGACGAAAAGTTGTTTTTTTGTTTTTTGTTTTTTTTGACATCCATTTATGCACTTTACTTTTATCTAAAGTGAATATAAACACACACACACACATCCCCTGTACACGATAATAATAATGTTTATATCGAACATTGTCGATAAAATTTTTCAAAAGAAAAAAAAATATTTTATCCTTTTTGTCAACAAACAAAAATCCCCAAAAAAAATGAATCCAAAAAAGAGTTTCCCATTTGAATTTTGTTATTAGATTTTTTCGCTATTCATTCATTCATTCATCCATCCATTTTTTCTCGTTTGAATTCATTCATTCATTCATTTTTTTCACCTAATTAAATCGATATATATTTGAAAACAATTTATTCATTCATCGTACATTCTTCCTTCTTTTGTTTATGCTGATTCCCAATATTCATTTTTTCATGGTTGGAAGATGATTTTTTGTTTTTGTTTTAGTTTTGCTACAGTGATTGGGGAGAAAAAAGAAACAAAAACATCATTATAGTCATTCAACACTATGGCAAAGTGAATCGATAAGATTTTTTTTCATTGATTGAATCCACATTATCAGTATCATCAGTATATAGCTAATCTTTTTTTTCGAACCCAAAAACATCCACAGGAACAAACAAAACATTATTTTTCTGGAAACTTTTTTGTTGTTTTTGTTTTTGAAAATCTTTTTGTTGTGGCTTTTCTTGTTCTTAATATGTTTTGATGCCTTTTCACTTTTTTCTTATCTCGTAAAAATTGATCGTTATCGTTTTTTTTCATTCACGGTTAAACAAAGCAGATTTTTTTTACAATCGATTTGATAATGTGTACTTTGCTCGCGTGAATGAATCAAATTTTTACATTTTTCGCTTCGTTGTTGTTGTTGATTTATCCAGAAAAATATTATGTGAAGAAAATTGATTCTTTTCTTCTGGAATCAACAACGAAAATAAGAAAAACCATTGAAAAACAATTAAGTTCAGGTTTTTTTTTGAAAAAATCAAAAGATGATTCTTTGGCATCATTTTAGTATGGTTTTTTCTTTCTCCATGATTTTCTTAAGAAAAAATGTTTGCAGAAATTTCCAGAAAACTTTCCTTCAGCTACATTTATCCATTTTCGACCTTTTTCTTTCAAAGATTATTATCTTAGTTTAGATTTCTTTCTTCTTAAACATTGATAAATGATAATGATATACACTTAGCTAAACTAAATAAAGACATTTTCTCTCTCTCTATTATCAAAGCATTCAATTTTCAAATTGAATCTTTTTACTTTTTCATTGGAAGTTGATCCATTTCAAATTGTCCAAAGAGGCCCATATTTAATTGAATCTTTCTCGAAAATTTCTGAAAATTGAAATCCAAGAGAAAAAAAAGATGTTTTGTCCATCATTATCATCATTACCCAAAGAAGAAGAAGATCGAGGTGAACGTAATTTGTAATGGAAAAAAAAGCAACAACAAAATCAATTTCTTTACAAACTTTTTAAAAACATTTTCTATCGCTGCTGCTGCTATTGACTTTTAATGGTGTTATCCAAAGATTTTCGCTAAAGATTTTTCGTTTTTGCTTTTGTCTCATTTATTTCAAACAAATAAAGATTGTTTGTTTTGATCTTGCTAAAAATGTGTTTTCTGTTGGCTATTGGAAAAACAGATAGACAAACAGAACAGAACAGAAATCCTAATGATTGCTAAGATAAGCAGAAATGAAATGAAAAAATGATTGGGGAATAACCAATGTGTGGCTATATCTACATTTTAGTAGGAATTCTTTGTTTTTCATTGTTGTTGTTGTTGTTTCCAGGAATCTTTCCCTGATAATAATAATGATGTAATACACCAACACTGGTGTGTCTTGTGGATCATCAATAAACTCTGAACAAAAAAAACTTTCAATATTTTTCTCTGTATATCCAATTTGTCTTTTGCCTGATAATTATCTTCATATATGAATCATTTGCTGCTGCTGTTTTGTTTTGTTTGGTATTGTATTTTGTGATTGAAATGTGAATCCGGAAAAACAAAACAAACAGCAAATTGACCGTGGCAAAATCGTCGCCGATGAGGATATTGATTGATCATTTTTTTGCTTGAAAAAATTTCATTTATTTGCATTTGTTTTTTCCGTTTTTTTTCCGAAAAAAAAAAGAAAATTGCTGAATCGGTTTTAAAGAAAAAAATTTGCTTTTCCCTCTGTTTCAATTCGATTTTTGTTTTCTGATGATTTCAGCTATTTTAACCTATTTTTAGGATCTTTGAAATGATGAATCTTGATATTTTTACTGTATCAATCCAGCCTAACAAAACCAAACTAGATAAAGAAGACACACACACAAACAAATCATTTGTTTATATCGATCAAATATCATCATCATCATTGTTTGTTTCACACTTTTTACTTGGATCAATGTTCAGTGTTAAAATCATGAATTATTCACCAGAACATATATAGTGTCACCAGAATCATGTCACACACGCTATAGCATCATTTAACAAAAGAATTTCATCGTTGTTGTTCACTTTAGTCACAAAAGAAATCAATCATTTGAATTTTGTTTTGTTGTTGTTGAAAAAAAATTCCGAAATGAATATTTAGGCTTCATTCTTTCGTCAAGACGCACACACACAGAAACTTATGGAATGAAATTCCATCGGGATGGAAAATAGAAAAACCCGAAATAAACTTTGGAACTTTCGGGTATTTTTTTCTCGGTTATTTTCGGCTGTTGTTGTTCGTTTTTTTTCTCTGGATTCGATTGAATGAACATTGTTGGCAAACGAATGGTTATTGGTGGTGGTGGTGGTGATGGTGGATGATAATAGAAAATGAATTTTTTCTGTTACGCCGAAACCAAAAACTACCCAGACCGATTATTATATACCAGAAGCAAAAATGAAAGATTTCATTCATTCATTCATTCATTCATTGTGTCCCACATAAACACATGGCCAACAACCAAAAATAATAATAATGATAAAAATGACAACAACAACGACGACAATGACAAAATGAAGAAGAAAAACATCATCATCATTGTGTAATGATGATGAAAACTCCATATCGTTTTTCTTCATTTTCATTTTCATTTGACCTATTAAGTCTCTATATTCAATGATGATGATGATGATTCATGACTTCTTGGAATAATGATAATAATAATAATAATATTTTTCCTATCATCGTTTCATCCAAGAATCCAAAGAATCCAAGAATCGAAAGAATTCCATCACTATCATCTTTTTCTTTTCTCGTTTTAGTTGTTGTTTCCCAAACCGAAAAAATTATTATTAACAAGGCAATATTGAAGGCACAAAAAAAAATTTGTTGTCAAGTTTGGTTTTCGTTTCGTTTCGTACCTGGCAAATAAGAAATTTTTAATGATATTTGGGGACATCTTTTGTTTTCTTACTTTGCTTTCCTTGTTACTCAATTTATTTTTGATTTTTGATTTTCTTTTTGAGGAGAAGATTTCCATGTTCCATTATAAATGTTTTCCTTTGATGGAGTGTGTGCCTGTTATATTATTGTGTTTCATTATTTTTTTCAGTTTTTTTCTTTGTTTGCTTGTTTGACACTTTTTCTGTGAAAAAATCTGTAAATGATTGGTTGGTTGGTAAATATACGAAATTTTGTTGTTGTTTTTACGACGAAAAAAAAACTATTTGAAAACAAAATGAACAACATTCCTGAAATAGCTAAACTTCCAAACAACAAAAAAAAAATGATCGAAATGTGATTTGATTTGTTCAAGTAAATGAATAGCGCTTAAGTAAAGAGAGAAAAAGCTTGCTAATTACTTAATTAAATTCCTATTTTTTCGGATTTCTTAATTCTGTTTTTCGTTTTTTTCAGTTTCAGAATTAATTAACTGAAATAAGTTAACCGATCGAGATTACATAGGAATAACATAGAATTTTGCCTGTATGTTTTTATTCGACCCCTGTCAATGTTTGCTTTACTGCATTGCATTTTTTCAATTTCAACAGGGTTTTTCGCTCTTTTTTAATTTCAACGGGTTTTTAGCATCATCATTAAAATGTTCGCGAGCAATGTTGTTTGAAAATGATGATCATAATTTAGAAACAAACAGTAACAACAACAACAACAACAGAAAAAAGCCAAAGAATCAAAAAAGAAAGAATTCATTTACGATTCTCTGTAATCGATAATGGTGATACCTTGATAATGATGATAAAATTGTCAATTTTTTTCTTACATTTTTCAAGGTGTGTGTTCATTTGGTCGGTCGGTTTGGTTAATGGAACAGCCAAAAAAAAGAAGTGATAATTGAAAAATAAAACGAAGAAGAAGAAGAACATCAAATAGTCATCATTATCATCCATTAGATTTTCTTTCGTCTTTGAAGTCAAAAAAAAAGTTTCAAAATTTGGCCAGAATAAATGGTTCCAAACACCATCATTTTTGGAAAGCGAAAAAAAATCACCAAGAATGAAAATTATTAGTTAGCAAGCCAGTGTGTATAGTGTTTTATTATCAAACTTTTTCTTCATGATGATGATGATTATTATTATGATAATCATAAGTTATTAACATTCAAATTTCGTTTTGTTTTTTCTCAAAGAACCAAACAAAACGATAGAGATACAAAAAAAAACAAGAGAAACTTATGGT